ATGAAAAGAGCACCTTTTGCTTTGTTTTGTCCTCTTTAGGAGTAATTATCATTACAGCCAAGTCTGATTTGGACCAGGAGATGAAAAGAGCACCTTTTGCTTTGTTTTGTCCTCTTTCGGAATAATTATCATTACAGCTAAGTCTGATTTGGACCAGGAGAGTGGTATATTTGGACATGGCTTTCTAGCCAGAATAAGAAATGCTATTTAGCATAAAGGTGGCATTGGTGGTTCAGTGGTAGATTCTCGCCTTCCATGCGGGAGACCCAGGTTCAATTCCTGGCCAATGCACCTCATGTACAGCCACCACTTTTCTGTCAGTGGACACTTGCATGTTGCTATGATGCTACACAGGTTTAGTGGAACTTCCAGACTAAAATGGACTAGGAAGAAAGGCCTGGCAAAGTACTTCTGAAAATCAGACAGTGAAAACCCTATGGATCACAACGGTCCAATCCAAAACCAATCATCCACAACCTAGCATGGGGATGGTGCAGCACCGGGCAGCATTTCGTTCTGTTGTGCGTGGGGTTGCCATGAGTTGGGGGACCGACTTGATGACAGCTAACAACAACAGTTAGGATAAAGCATTTTCAGAGGTATTGTATTTCATTGGCTGGGCAGCTCTGGGAAAATGGGGCACTACCTGCCTTGTCAGGCAGTATGTCATTTCTTTCTGGTCATAAGGTGATGATGTCAGCAGATGGCTGTTATGCTGAATTTGAGCAGGAGCTCAGTCTCAGTGACTTTCTTGGTCATTACCAGTGATGATTTGAGAAACACTGTCAGGTAATGAGCCACCTGACTGGGGTAGATAGGACTGGATTAGAATTCTGAGGTTTCTTACCTGGGTAACTTTGGGAATTTGCTTCTTGTACTTTAAGATTATTTGTTAAATGGGAATAATAAGACATATAACAACATGCAGACTTGAATAGAGGCAGCTCACAACCTTTATGTGTGGCTACCGAAACATCTACTAGCCATTCATTCTTCCTTTTTTTTTTTCCTGTGAGAGTGTTTTCTTTCTTTTTGTTTTGTATTGTGCTTTAGATGAAGGTTTACAGAGTAAATAAGTTTCTCATTAAACAATTAATATACATATTGTTTTGTGACATTGGTTATCAACCTCACGACATGCCAAGACTCCCTTTCTTGATCTTGGGTTCCCCATTGCCAGTTTTCCTGTCACCTCCTGCCTTCTCGTTCTTGCTCCTGGGCTGGTGTACCCATTTAGTCTTGTTTTGTTTTATAGGCCTGACTAATCTTTTGATGAAGGGTGAACCTCAGGAGTGACTTCAGTACTGAGTTAAAAGGGTGTCTGGGGGCTCGCTCTTTCTTTTTTTAAAGAGCACTGGCATTTATTGTGTGTTTTGTGTGCACATCTTTTCGAAGCTCTTCACACACAGTCTCATTTCACCTTTGCCACGACCCCCTGAGAATCTACAATTCCACCCCAGTTACAGAAAAGGTAGCTCTGGCCCAGAGAGATGGGAGACTTGACCAATATCCCACAATTCTCAGTGTCAGTGCCCAAATTTGAATCCAGGAGTCTCGTGAAAATTTTACAGTATTTCCCTCCTCCATTAGATACACATCTCAGTAATTAAGAGAGACCAAAACTTTAAAAACAAAATGTAACAAAAGACACAAGTGTACACTAACCATTTCTTGCCCTCGAGAGTGGGAACGGGCCATGCGCAGTCTTGCCGCTGAGATAATAACATAGTAAAGTGCCTGGCTTGGTGCCTCAAGTCCTGAATTCTTCCACTAAACAGGGCCTCTTTTAATAGTTCACTTCAGAATGTCTCCTATTTCAAAGATACGCTCTATTCCCTTCACCTGTACATATATTCAGTTTGTATTTACAGGATAAAACCAAAAAACTAGACCTGTTGCTGTGGAGTCGACTCTAACCCATGGCCACCCTGTAGGACAGAGCAGAACCATCCCCGAGGGTTTCCAAGGCTGTACTGGTGGTGCAGTGGCTAAGCGCTGTGAGAAGAACTGAAGGCCAATGGTTCGAACCCACCAGTCTCTCCATGTGAGAAAGACGTGGCAGTCCGCCTCCACAAAAATTATAGCCCTGGAAACCCTACGGCGCAGTTCCACTCTGTCCCATAGGGCCATCATGAGTCAGAATTGACTACATGACAATGGGTTTTTTTTTTTTCTTTTTGTTTATTGTTGTAGTTTAAATGAAGTTTACATTTCAAGTTAGTCTGGATTTTTTTTAAAAAAGAATATTTTATTGTGTTTTAGGTGAAAGCCTGCATAGAAATTAGGTTTCCATTTAACAGTTTTTATACAAATGGTCCTGTGCCATTGGTTATAATTTTTACAGTGCGTCAGCATTCTCATTATTTCCATTCTGTTCTGTTTCCATTGATCTAGCTTCCCTTCCCCTCCTTGCCTTCTCATCTTTGCTTTTGGGTAAATGTTGACCATTTGGTCTCATATAGTTAATTGTTTAAGGGAGCATATTACTCATGGGTGATATTGTTTATCTTATAAGCCAATCTATTATTTGGCTGAAACGTGACCTGCAGAAATAGTGTCAAATCAAAGTTCAAAGGTTATCTTAGGGCAATAGTCTCAGGAGTTTCTCTAGTCTCTAACGGTCCAGTAGGTCTGGCCTTTTTTAGGAATTTGAGTTTTGTTCTACATTTTTCTCCCATTTTATCTGGGACTAGCCACTTATTTCTTACCAAACACTGATGTTGAAGAAAATTAATCTATAAAGTATTATATGAATTTGAAGGTTTTAATTCAGTATCTACTGAATACCTTTGTTAGACACTCTGGGAAAGAAAAAATAACATTGTCCCTTACCTTGAAGAGTATGTGGTTTAGTAAAGAATACATAATACATGAAATGACTATAACAAGGCAACATATGCGTAAGTTCTAGAGAGTATGTAAAATGAATGCTTTAGACCTGTGCTGTCCAATATGGTAGCCATTAGCCACATGTGGCTATTGAGCACTGGAAGGTGGCTAGTCCAGACTGAGATGCTCTTTAAATATAAAATATACACTGGATTTCAGAGACTTAGTATGAAAGAAAGAGGCACAAAAAAAGGAGACTTCATAGCTTTGTTGTTGAGGGAGTGGTGGTACCAAACCCAAAGTCAAGATGGAAAACCTGTATTTGGGGAGAAAGGTGATGAGTCCTCCTCTGGATCTCAGGGAACTTTAGAGTTAGTGATATAAACCAGAACTCAGTTGAGAGGTCAGGATGAGAGCAAGCTCTGAATATCATTAGAATGGAGGTCACTTGAAGTTGTCAGAATAAAAGAATATTAAGAGGAAAAGAATTCAGGGCTGAGAATTGGGCGTTGGGAAATGCCAGGGTTGGAAGAATGGAGAAATGAGGAGGTGAGAGAGAGGTCACCCCATAAAGACATCTTTGTAGAGGAAGGAGAAGAACTTGAAAAATAGTGTGTTATGGGACCAAAAAAGTCCAAGAGGAGGGATAATCTGAAGTGCCAAGTGCCAGAGACTTGGAAGAATGACTTGTCGGGAAGGTATCAGTTCCAGCTTGGGTTCTCCAGGAAGCAGACACGTGGACAGAGTTAGGAGTGGAAAAGGTTTATTGGGGAGAAACATCTGTGAAAAGAAAAGGAGAGGAAGCAGGATTTGGCAAAGGAGCTGTCAAACCATCATACAGAATTGACATAACTGGGAGCTCTGGAGCAAACATTGCCTGACAGAGGACTCCTGCACTGGGCAGAAATGGTACCACTGCCTTGCTTAGCCATTGTCTGGGGACTGGCCTGAGAAGAGAATGACTGTGGCTACTGCCTTGCTCAGTCATTGATTGAGGTGGACCTTGAAAGTACTAACAGTTAGAGACTGTTCTTTACCCACAATTCCTTGTAGCTGGGCAGCAATTTCTTTTCTTCAGGAGGAATCTGAGGGGTGCATCTCTGTGTCTGCCTCAGAATCCTCCTAAAAAGCAATTTCAGGAGATTGATAGGTATAGAAGCCATATTGTAGGGACCATAAGGGGGCCAGGATGGTTTGAAGACAGAGCAGCAGAGGTAAACCTCAGGTTTGTGATCTTTATCATCACCTTTCTGCAGTCACACCAAGCACTCCTTGAGTATGCACTGTGGCTCCAGAGCTTCTCTTAGAGAAAAATGTACTAAATTAAGTTACCTTAACTTCTCTCTCTTTTACTATAGATTTCTCTTCTCACTTCTTGAATTCTTGCTGAGCCCTTTCCTCAGAAATCTATACTTGAATTTTGAGGAACTGGATTGCTTTATTAGATCTCAGGCCAGATGAGCTATGCCTGACTAGTTCTGGTGGTGTTAATAACTAATGGAGGCATTGTTTTTGACTCTGAAAGTGATCTGAATTAGAGATTCCAATTAAGCCAACATTCTTTCCAGGAACATGGTAGCATAGGGAATAAATTGAAAGGCCTAGATCTAGATAAAGGTGATGGAGAAGCAGCAAAATAAACTGAACTAAACTAAGAAAATATATAAATAAAATGAAAATTCTAGAGAACTCTTAAATGGACATCATTTAGTAAACATTTATTGAACAGCTATTATTATTAGGTTTTGTTATTGCACAGATGGATAAAATACAGGTCCTTTCCTTAAAGAACTTACAGAGCAGCAGGAGAGAGACACACAGCTTACTGGAGATAATTCTTGCAAATGATTTGTCTTCTTAAAGACGTTTGTTTGTGTTATATTCCAGCGAGAGGCTGGCATCTAAGGAGGCTGTCCCAGATTGGAGGACTTTGTTGCTCATGGCGTGACTTCTGCAAAAGGCGTGGCAAAGCATAGTTCTTTGCGGATGAATCGAATGAGTTAATTTCATCAACTTTATAGTCCTACAAGGATCTGCTCACATTTGGTAATTTTATTAATGCTCCCTAGTGGGAACCCCCAACTCTATTTTACTTTGTTTTTATTTTTCAGAAACATAAAAGCTTCATTTTTTCCTATTATAAAGATAATACATAGACTATTCACACAGTATGTTAAACTATAAAGGCAAAAGTAAAAATACCTGAAATTCTAGCCCCAAAGGCAGATGCAATTAACTTTTCAGTGAATATCTTTTCTCACACCTCTCTACACACGCACACACACAAACGTGCACATTTTCATAAACATTGTAGTAGGGTCATCTTTCAATATCAGTGCATGTGGAGTACGGACACCATCCTTTTATTTTTTTTAAGTGGACTCTTTATTTTCATTTTACCTAATTTTATTTTATTTTTTTAATTTTTTTTTTTATTGTACTTCAGGTGAAGGCTCAGAACAAATAGTTTCTCGTGAAACAGAAGTACACATGTTGTTTTATGACATTGGTTAACAACCGCACATGGATACCATCCTTTTTAATGACTGCGAACTATTTCACTGTGTTGCTTCATTGTGCTTTATTTAACCACTTTCCCATTCATGGATATTTGAGGTGTTTTCAACTTTTCAATTTTATTAACTCTTCAGTGAATATTATTGAACATACATCTTTGTATACCTGATTTAGGTATACAAATTCCTGGAAGTGTAATTGGTGGGTCAAAGAGTATGCGTATTTAAAAGTTTGACACTTCTGGCCAGGTTGCCCTCACAAAAGGTTGTGTCAGTTTATATTAGTGATTGTTTCTCTATATCAGTGGCTCTCAATCTGAGTGATGATTTGCCTTCGAGGGGACAGTTGGCAAGGTCAGGAGCCCTGGTGGCACAGTGGTTAAGAGCTATGGCTGCTAACCAAAAGGTCGGCAGTTCAAATCCACCAGCCACTGCTTGGAAATCCTATGGGACAGTTCTACTCTGTCTTATAGGGTTGCTGTGAATCGGAATTAACTCGACGGCAACGGGTTTTTTAACAGGAGACATTTTTAGTTGTTACAAATGAGGAGACACTACTGGCATCTAGTATGTAGAGGCCAGTGCTGCTGCTAAACAGCCTACAAAGCATAGGACCCCCTTCGCCTCTAACCACCACAACAAAGAATGGGTAAGTTCTAGAAAACCAATTCTAGAAAACCTGCTCTGTACCCTTTCCAGTGTTGGGGATTGGCAATCTTTACTCTCCCATATCTGCTCAAACACCAGGTATTGTTATTCAGGCAAAAAGTAATATGCCTTTTAATTTGCATTCTTTTGGTTACTAGTGAGGTTGGGCATCTTTTCCTATATTTTTTTAGTCACTAGTTTTGTTGTGTCAATTTTCTATTCTTGTTGTCTGTTTTTCTACTAGGTGTTCATCTTTTTCTTATTAATTTCTAAGAGCAGTTTGAATGTTGAAGCCATTAACCTTTTTTTGCTTGTTTGCAGTGTTTCTTTTTAAAGGGAAATTAACATTTTTTTTATGTGGTCATGTTTACCAATATTTTCTGTTTGGTTTCTGAAGAGGGCTAAATTGATGAATTACCCAAAACAACTTATTAAAGGTGGTTAAGTGAGAACCACTGAAATCCAGTGGCATAAATTATAGTTCAGTGACCTATATTCTATGGACAACATCACAACAGGTGAATTTTGAGCTAGATATCCTGCCTTAGTATGTCCATAGGCATTATGCGCCTACTAAGTCATCCCTCAGCCCTACACTAGTCACTGTGAAGGATACAGAAGAAATATTTGGCTGTTTCCTCCCTTATAAAGCTGCATTAGGTAATCTGAGATATCACTAACATGCAAAACAGAAAACAAGTACACTCTGAATAGGAGTTCAGTGGACAGGGAGGCCAGGGACGACTTCCTTGAGTTTATGAAAAATGACCCCGTCTTGCAGGATGTGACTAAGCAGAAGAAAATGTTTCCAGCACAAGGCATTATTGTGGGACAGGTAATTGGGAGACTTGGGTTCTAGTCCTTGTTTTGTTACTGATCAGTGTATGACTTAGGCCAAGTCCCAGGCCCCAGTCATTTTATCTGTGAAATAGAGAGATAGGACTAGGATATTCTCTAAGATTGTGTCAGTATTAAAATATTATGATACTGCTGTTAAAAGAGAAATTTTAGAAAGTCTTCTGAATTCCAGGCAGCATGCTAGGTGTTGTGGGGATTCAAGGATGGATAAGACATGGGCCTTTTTCTTTCAGAAATTTACAGTCTTGTGGGAGAGAAAAATCACTTGTGATAGTGTAAAAGAAGAGGTACAGAGTGCTCAGGAAATGCAGAGACCATCCTGAGTTAGGGCTAGTGAAGACTTCAGAAAGACATGGCATTTTTGTGAGGTAGAAATGGAGATGGGGTGACTTGAGCTAAGCCCTGGAGGAGGAAGGAGGGTGGTGCAGGGCTTGTTTGGGGGTACAGTGATTAAGCTTGTTTGGCTGCACTTGTACGGTTTGTACAAAGGGATAGGAAAAAATAAGGCTAGAAAAGCAAGCGAGGCTGGCTTGTGGAATGCCTTAAATGCCGACCTAAGATACTTGACTTTTACTTGTGTAGGCTTTCGGGGATTTTTAGGCAAGGGGGTAACATGATGTAAGCAGCATTTTAAGATAAATATGCCTTAATCGTAGACAAAAGTGCCTATGATGGTGATTGATTGCACTCAGGGCCTAATAGAGAGGGCAGTGTCAATGATGACTTTGAGATTTTTGAGGCTGAATAGAACAAGAATAATTTAAGAGAAAGCAAGTGAGACTTGAGCAGTGACCAGCAGGATGAAAAGATACTGTCAGGAAGAGGAAAATGACTCCAAGTGGTAAGGGCAGGACCTCTAGCAAGACAATACTCTTAAGGCAGGGCATAGCAGTGGTAGGAAATAGGTCATTCTGGTTCATTGTTAGGAAGAATTTTCTGGTAATTTGCCATTAACTTGAAAACTATATACCAGACTTAAGAATTTTCATGCGTTAAAAAAATGATTGCTCATTATGAGTTATAATTCTATAATTGTGTAGGTTCAGATAAGTCTGTTGGGATAAAGATCTCCACCCCACCCCCTTTTTTTTCAGTGTTGAATGTTGCCTGTTACGCACATCCTGTAAAGGGAAACTGTGTGTGATGGGGGCGGGGCACTTTTCAGAGAACCTTTTAGAATCTCTACATCTTTGAGAGAGAAGGGAGTGAACATTATGCGCTTGTGTGTTAAAACACAGTTTAGTCGTTTATCATCCTTGATTTTGTTTTCATGATAGCTGGAGAAAAATGCTTAAAAAGGGTAAATGGTAAACCACTGAACAGGAACAGACCATACGAGCAAGGGCTCGTGCAGTTAGTCATCTCTCATCAGCCGAGGTTCTGCAGAGGCAGTAGCAGACAGCTATGAAAGAACTGGAGTGATGGGTTTCTGGCATGGATATGGATCTTTGATTGTGACAACAATAGTTTATTCTTCAAATCAGGAATGAGAACAAAGTTGCTTAGCAATCATGTGGGCACTAACAGAATGGCCTTTGGGGGAGCAGGCATTCGAAGTGGAATAAATTCAAGTTTTCCAAGAAACTTGCAAACACCCTGATTGGAGTGATTCAGGGGCAGTCCTTTTGCAAATCAAGAACTGATACTCCTCTTTCCTGCTGAGGGCTTTTGTCCTGGATCTGCTTTTCAGCTCCTCCTCCAGAGAGGAGGCTAGTGCCCCTTGGAATAGTTCCCTCATAGGCGGGTGATGGGAGGTGGGAGCTCCCAAAGAGAATGGTCCCAGATGTCTAGGTGAAGTTCTTTGCCACTGGATCTAGCTTGGCTGTGCTAACCAGAGCCAGCCATCTTGTTGGGTCCTGGGGAATGGAGAGGGTGGGGCTGCAGTAGCACCAGTCCACTACTGTACCTTAGAAACAACATGCTTGTCCACAGAGTTATCTTTGTATAGGCAGGGCTGTTTGCTTTTCCAGAAAGAGAAGGAAGGAACCACAGTGTGGAAAGGGCTTCAGAGTGAGAGGCTTGGATTCTAGTCCAAGTCTAACTGCCTGTAAAGCTCTATGATTTTGGGCACATCTCCTTATGCTTCTCTAACTTAGTCTTCATCTGTAGAATAGCAATATCTACTCTCCCTAGGGAGAGACTCAGACAAATTAATGGATGATGTGAGTGTCCTCTAAAAAGCGTAAATTGCTATATAAGCATATGGAGCTATATAAGCATATGTTTACTAGTTTATATTCTGTCCATCAAAATTTTGATTTCTTTATACATTTTATTTTCTGTTAAAAAAAACTTTAGATACTGTTAGGCTTTTGAAAAAAATTACTGATAATAAAAATTTTAAAGACATAGAACACAACTTCTTTTTCTTCTTTTAGTGACAAAGGTTTTTCATTTATTAGTTGTTTAGTTTTTTGTTATTTTGTTCGAAGGCTTCCCTTCCCTGGGCATTGTTGTTATTGGGTGCCACTGAGCTGATTTTCGACTCATAGTGACCCAATGTGACAGAGTAGAACTTCCCCATAGGGTTTTCTAAGCTGTAATCTTTACAGGAGCAGGTCGCCAGGTCTTTCTCCAGTGGAGCCGCTGGGTGGGTTTGAACCGCCAACTTTTGGGTTAGCAGCCGAGCACTTAACAGTTGCCCACCAGTGATCCTTTTCTAGAGCTTACTAACGATGAAAAAAGCTACAGCAAAGCTGAATTTCTCATTTAAATTATAGTTCTCTTTGCTGAATTTATGAAATGAATTGGGTTTCATGTTAACCCTCAGTTAAGGGGTTTTTTTGGTTTTGTTTTTTGTTTTAATTTTAGAAACAAGTCTACCTTTTTATTTTACAGTGAGGATACCGAAGTCAAGTGAGTAAGTAGCAGAACCAGGACTGGACTCAGATCTCTTCATCCAGAGTCCTTGTCACTGTAATGTGCTGCGTCCCTCACAATTTACTTAACTAAGTAAGGTGGTGAAGAAAATTATCATTGAATTCAGCTATCCTTGTATTTAACAAAAGTGTCATCTAATTGTCCAAGGCTGAAGTCTAGAGTTGAAATCTAAATCTTCTTCAGTGGGATCACTGAATCAGAGTAAACACCTACGTGTACAAAGATGACTTTAAAGAACTGAAAATGCAATGCTCCTTATTACTAGGGAGTGTTGGAGCAGGGATTACAAAACCTGAGTTCTGGTCTAAGTTCTGCTCAGTGACCTTAGTCTAGAAAGGCAGATTTAATCTCTTTGAGCTAGTATGCTCCATCTGTAAAATGAGAGGGATGACAATATGGTGGCCAAGGCCCCTGCCAGGACTTTAATTAGAGGAATCTGTGAAACCCAAAGGCAGAAGGTGGGAGAGACAGGTCTTTTTTGTTCTCTGAGGACTTTACACTAATAACTGTTTTTCTCATGTTACTCCTCTGTCTAAAAATCATTCCATTCGCCTCTATTCCTATTCAGAAATCTATCCTTGTTTTAAGGCATAGGTCATATTGCACTTCTTCTATGAAGCCACTAGGACCCTGAGTGGCGTAGTTTGCGCTCGACGACTAACCTCAAGGTCGGTGGTTCAAACCCATCCAGTGGTGCTGTGGGAGAAAAGCCTGACAGTTTTCTTCCATAAAGATCACACTCAAGAAAACCCTATGGAGCAGTTCTACTCCGTAATACATGGGGTAGCCAAGAGTTGGAATCGACTCGATGGCAACAGGTTTGGATTTTGGTTTATGAAGTCACTGTGACCAAAAAACAAACCAACCAACCAACCCGTTGCCGTTGAGTTGATTCCGACTCATAGTGACCCTCTAGGACAGAACAGAACTGCCCCATAAGGTTTCCGAGGTTGTAAATCTTTACAGAAGCAGACTGCCACATCTTTGTCCTGTGGAGTGGCTGGTGGGTTTGAACCCTGACTTTTTGGTTAGCAGCCCAGTGCCTAACCACTATGCAACCAGGGCTCCTCATGAAGTCACTGTAGCACATACTGTTTCTCCTTTTCTCCTTTTTGCCCTTACATTTCACTCTTCTGTGAAGCATGGCACATTGCTGTGGAACATGTCTTCCTTTTACACCTCATCTCTAGGGAGTAGGTTAATGTGAAAGAAGGACCGACTTTGAAGATGAATAGATCTAGCTGTGTGGTCTGAGGCTCGCCTCTTTTTTATCTTTTTAACATTTAATTTTTTAAATAGGTAGTACATTTTTGAATAGGTAATTTAAAAAATAATAAAAAGGGGAAGTACAGTAAAGAGTCTTCTGCTTTTGTCTCCTATCAAATTAGTCTTCCCCCACTATTAATAGTTTCTTATATATCTGTCCACAGTTTATTTTTTCCTCTTTTTTTTTTTTTTTTAACATAAAGGATGGCATACTATACATACTTTAAGGTACCTTATTTTTTTCACTTACTTTATCTTGGAAAACTTTTCATATCAGCGCATAGTCAGCTTCCTCATTGTTCTTAACATTTTATGGATGTACCATAGTTTAGCCAGTGGTTGGGAATTTTTACTTGGGGAAGTACCAAATGATTTTTAAATTTGAATGACATTTTGAGCCATGTCTGAGAAATACATCTTTTATTTCTCTAAAATTTATATGTCCATAGTACTTTACAGTTTATAAGCACTTTCACATACATTCTTGAATTTGATACTCACAAAACCTCTTTGGAGTAGGTAGGTTTTGCTACGTAAATAGAGGAAGGAAATATCTGTTTAGGATTTTACTGAAGTGTGGTACAAGATTCTTCACTAAAAGCTCCACCGTGCTCTTTTCATGTGCTCTACTGGTAAATAAAGGGTTTGCTTGAGAAACACAGCCTGCTTTGTAGGAGCTGATAAAAGTCTTCATTACTGCATTTATAACCATTTGTGAATTTACTTCCTTTACTTACTTCCTTAAAACCAGTAGAGCATGTAGAAAAGGATCTCCACATAAATGAAGCTTTGAGAAATAAATGTAGAAAGAAGATGTGTAAATGTTCTTTTTATAGATTACAATTTTTAAGTCTTAAAATAATCCTAACTGAAATCTGTTTATGCAGAAAAAAAAGACTTGCTTAATGGAATTAAAAGTGTCCTTTGGGATGAATGTGGCTCCATAAGTGATTAAATGGGGTTACGGCTGAGAAAAATAGGGAATATTTTAACCTGGGATTTGATATCTAAGATTCTCTGTTAAACAAAAGTACAGCCTTAGCTCTGTTAAATTATAGCACAGCCTGTAATTTGACCTGTTCAGAACGCACAAATGAAATGGAAGGGACTTAAAAGGATTTATTTTTTAACTTTCATTTAATGTGAATCAAGATTATTAGCACCAAGATAGCCCAAACTGTTCAACTACCTGAATATTAAAGTGTGCACTTAGGTTATTGCAAGAACAGCAGCCTTTTGCATACATGCTATGGAATGCAAATTTTCTTCAAAATATTTTTAACCATTTTGGTGACTCCTGAGATGTTTTTGCTATTAATGTTTCTTCTATTCTAAATCAGGTCCTTTATTTCTTTCTCTTTTTAATACTTTGACTCTTTATACTTATGCTGAAAACTTAGCATAGAGTCCTAGAATTTTAGAGTTGATTTGGACTCTTAGAGATGACCTAATTAACATTTGGCATATATATACACTAATTTGGCCCTTTCTATTGAACAAATGAGAAAACTGAAGCCCAGAGAGGTTATGACTTGCCCAGGTCAGCCACCTTTTCCAGAATGCTGGGCTCCAGCTGCCCAGTACCAGCAGGCTCTTTCTCTTACAGCTCTAATTAGCTGACCCTGCTCCACTTGGGGAGAAGTTTAATTTTGAACACATTCTCTTGCTTGTTTCCCTTTTTTTTTCCTAATGTGGGCCAGTTAATAAAGGACAACAAGTAGCATTATGTTCACAGATCTTGCATGGAGCCTGGCTCATAGTAGGCTTATATTAGAGGCTTGTTTGAAGTGAACTAAAACTGGGGAGGGGATGAGAGCGAATTGGAGCTGGCAGCTGAGCAGTGCTCACCTTCCGTTTGCTAGTTTATTCTCCGTCTTTCTCAGGGCAAGGAGCGGCGGGTTGTGTTCAGACAGTGAGGGTGTCATGTGTTGGTTAGTGGGTGCCTTTAAACGACTCTCTTTCCCCCGTAGGTCCTTTCACATAACTTGTGCACAGTGCTGAAGGTTCCACATGACCCTGTTGCCCTTGAAGAGCACTTCAGGGATGATGATGAGGGGCCTGTCTCCAATCAGGGCTACATGCCGTATTTAAACAAGTTCATTTTGGAAAAGGTATGATTCTAATCTGTTCTTGCTTACAGTGTTACTTGATTTGTCCAGCATTTCTCAAGGGGCCACAAAGCCCCTTGTTCGCAAGTTGATGAAGGAATTCAGGTGTGAGGCATGCAAAGATCAATCAGAAAGGAAAGAAAGAATGAGAGAGACTGATGATGCTTCTTATTCCTTCTTCTCCACTTTCCTTAAAAAGTTGGTTTCATGTTTTTCCACCTTGGTTCATTCTTGAAAATTAAGAACTGTGTTTTGTATTATTCTGTATCTATCCTCTCTCAGGATTTTTTTTTTTTTTTAATTCTGATTTCATATGTGCAGCAACTGTGGTCAAAGGATAGGTGTGATGGGGTAAAATATGAATATTAATTATTTTTAAGATATTATATAGCATACTTTTTTATCCTAGACTTTTCGGGGTATCTCTTGGCTGCTTTCTTCTGGGGTATGTTCTGGGTAAGGATGCTGCAAAAACCCGTCATGTATTTGGAAGCCAAATATAACGTAGTGACGTTCCCAGCCATGTTCAGTTTCTCAGCACATAAAATGGTGACATTTAATGCACGGAAAGAAGAAAATAAACTGATGAGTAACCACGGTTAACAGTTCGATAAATATCTTTTCAGACCTTTTTTAATGTACACGCAAATGTACACATGTGCCCTCACACACAACCCCGACTACCCCTACAGAATACATAGTGTTTTGTTCTATGCAAATAGGATCTTACTATACATACAATTATGCAACTTACTGTTTTTTTTTTTTTTTACTGAACAATATATTCATTTAATCCTTTCATGTCATGTGCATTTAGTTTAGATATGGAAGAAATCATGTATTCACATCCAAAGTTTGGGAGAGCTTTTGCCTATTTATAACAGCAAGCATGAAATTTTTAGAAGTATTTCAAAAATGCCTCTCAAAATGTGACAGTACTAATACTATTAAATTAAAAGTAAAATACATTTGAAAAACTGTATTTTAGTCACCGAAATACCATAACTATTTGCATATTTTCGTCTGGCTTCAGATTTTTATTACTATTTATATGTATAATTTTTTTTATAGCTTAGAGTCTTTTTTTTTTTAATGACAATGTATAGTAATTAACATTTATAATAATCATTTAAGGTAGTAGTTTGGAAAAGGCCAAAATGTGATTTTAAAATTCACAGGAGGATACAGTATATTTTTTAGAAATTTTGCAGCCAAGATCATCAAACTTACAGTGTGTTATTGTTTAAATGGATAAACCTGAATGTCCTAGGGAATTAACTTCTCTGGCACTAGCCTTGTGACAATGGCTCTAAGTCATCACTTCTCAGAGTGTGTGCAAAGACCACGAGCATCAGCCTTTAAAAATGTAGGATCTTTGGCCCTAGCCCATACCTACTGAATCAAAATCTGCGTTTAGAAGATCCTCAGGTGATTCATTTGCACAGCAAAGTTTGAGAAGCACTCGTCTAGGTTACTTGTTTAAAGATAATTGGCTAGATGACCAGTTTACCTAAAAGTCCTCACTTATTACTTACTTACTGACTTTTTATTTTGGTAGATGCATATTTACACTCACATCCACCCAGTAATTTCACAATTTTTATTAATGTTCAAGGTTTATATTTGTATGATAAGTATACATTTATTTTAAATGGAATTAATTGTTGCCTGTTTTTATTTCATTTTGTTGCATTATTTGAGCTTGTATCTTTTACTCCATATCAGCCTCACAATCCAATTTTCTCATTTTCTGTGTGTGTGTATAGTGTTTCCCTTACCGAGATGATAGCATTGCCTTAATCATGCTTTAATTATCAAAAGAGAGAGAAACCACATGCTTCTCTCATGATAACAAAATGTAAGATTTAATCAAACTCATAAAAGACCACATACTGTATGATTCTATTTATATGAAATGTCCAAAGTAGGTAAATTCATAGAGATACAAAGTAGATTAGTGGTTGCCAAGGGCTGGAGGGAGACGGGAATGGTGAGTGACTGCTAATGGATATGGGGTTTCTTACTAAGATGATGAAAATGTTCTGAATTAGATAGTGATGATGATTGCACAATCTGAAAACCACTGAAATGTACACTTTAAAATGGTGAATTTTATGGTATGTGAGTTGCATCTCAATAAAAAAGATTTAATAAAACTGTAACTGATATGAGTTCTCAAAACTTTAAAAAAAATTTTTAATATAATTTTATTTTATTGTTGTTGAGAATATACACAGCAAAACATACACCAATTCAACAGTTTCTGTATGTACCATTTAGTGACATTGATTACATTCTTTGAGTTGTGTAACCATTCTCAGCCTCATTTTCTGAGTTGTTTTTCCCCCATTAACGTAAATTCACTGCTTGCTAAGGTTTATATCTAATCTTGAGTTGCTGTTGTCACTTTCATCCCATATAGATAGTTCTTAAAAGAGCATAATGCTCAAGACAGACATTTTTCACTAGTTAAGCTAAACTGCTTTTTGGTTTTAAGATTTCAGGAGATATTTTTCCTATAAGGTTTAAAGGAGATCTCAGGGCAGTAGTTTCAGGGGTTTATCCAATCTTCGTGGCTCCAGGAAGTCTGGATTCCAGAAGAATTTGAAATTCTGTTCTGCATTTTCCCCCTTTTCATCAAGACTCTTCTATGGAATCTTTGATCAGAATGTTCAGGAATGGTAGCTGGGCATCATCCAGTTCTTCTGGTCTCATGGCAAAGGAGGCAGTTGTTCATGGATGCAATTAGCCACACATTCCATATCCCCCTTCTATTCTTGGCTCTCCTTCTTCCTATGTTGTTCCAAGCTAATAGAAGCCAACTGTTGTACCTTGGGTGGCCACTTGCAAGTTTTTAAGACCCCAGGCACTATGCATCGAACTAGGAGGCAGAACAGAAGCACTAAACACGTTATTAGGCCAGTTAACTGGGATGTCCCGTGAAACTATGACCCTAAACCTTCAAACCAAGGAACCAAATCCTATGAGGTGTTTGGTTGTACATAGGCAACCTCAGCAGCTACTCTTTTGACTGTTGTGAATAGTGCTGCAAAGATCTCTAAACTTTACAGTACGATATTATACTATTTTCTGGAGCCTTTTTCTTTGCTGCTATTCTGGTCATTGATCAGGTAGCTCATTTGTGTTCTGTAGTTGTATTATAAGTTGCACATACCTTATATTCAGTAAATATTTTCACAACCTGATCTGTGCACGTGACTGTGTTTAATCTTAAAATTATTAGAGATATATGTTATACACTCAGGGTTCATTGGAAGTTAGTTACTTTGGTAAATAATAAAAGTTGACTTTTTTTGTCCTCTCTTGCATTTTCAAAAGAAAGAATCTTTCTTTGGCCCCAGGTGGTAAAGTAAGAGCTGTAAGAAGAGAGTTTGGAGTGAGGTAGAGGAATAACAGTGTCTTTTATTAAGATTCCCCCTGCCCCGACTTTCTCCTTGTTGGTATTCTTCACACCAGGGACATAGCTGCTGCTGCCCAGAATAACCTGGGATGATGTCCCTATCTCTTTAAAGGTCTTTTTTAGTTTGGAAGCTGATGAATGAATTTAAGTTAAAGTATTAGTTTAGAAACACACTCATAAAATAAATGTGGGTATACTGTCATGACCATATTTTCTAAACACAAAATTTGGGTGTTGTCTGACAGTGGGTTTTTAAAATTACCTCTGGGAGTGAGATACAATCAGGGTAATGGAGTTTAGATGCTGAAATATTAGAATTCATGGACCATCTTGTAGATTTACTAGGACAGCAGGGTTGAATGGTTGACATTAGTACTGTCCTAGAAAATTGAGGGTATTTATACAAAGAAATCCATTTTTATATTTTTATTTAAATGTTATAAGCAGAATTATGTCTTATTATTAAAATATTATAGAACATACTAGGAAATTCTCAGAAATCTGGAAATTGCGTCCTTTTTCAGTGTTAGAATTTGTGTGGGCTGGGCCAGTGGATAGAGAAATATGGTTTTATATCTTGAAGTGCTGTATCCTAATAGTGCATTTTCTTTTCCTTGGTGTGAGGCTCTTTTACCATTTTGAATTTCAAGTTTTAAAACGTTGTTTCAGTATTTAGCTATTTTAGAGTTTTGTAACGAGGAGAAAATATAACAGTATTTAAGAAATGCAAAATTAGTGACTAAATTTGGAGAAAAACTTATTCATGGAGGGGTGAGGATGTGATGAAACAGTGAGCCCTTGTTTATTATTGCTTAGCCACCTGGAGTGGAATTTTGCCAACCCTGCAATCCAAGTAAAGCAGTCAAGGTTTCCGTGGTGTGGGTTTAAATTGAGCAAAGATTAGTGCCTTATTTTGAAACTTGGTTGAAAAAAAATGCTAATAGTTACTAAAGAACGTTAACGTAAAACCTAGAGGTTGTCAGTTATGCAAAGAAAATATGAAATGACGATTAAACATTTGCAAGGTGTACTTTCATATATACATACTACCTCATTTGATCCTGATGTTAATCCTGTGAGCTAGGCAGAGCTGGAATTATTGTCCCTATTTAATTTAGGAGGAACCAAAACCTAAGGTCACTTGCTGTTGTTGCTGTTGTGTGCCATCAAGTTGGTTCCTACTCATAGCGACCTTACAGGACAGAGTAGAACCGTCCCATTGGTTTCCTAGGCTGTAATCTTTACAGGAGCAGATCACCAGATCTTTTCTCCCATGGAGCTACTGGGTAGGTTTGAACTGCTGAAGGTAGATTTTGAACCTAAGCCATTTGACTTCTAGACCAGTGTCCTATTAACTATACTATTGAGGCATTAATTGCTCCCTTTTAATTACGTTTATCTTTCTGTTATTTGGATACGTGGGGGAGATGTTGATCAACGGCAGGGGTGGGATGACTTAAAATCCATACTGATAATCTCAAACTATCTCTTGGGTTCTTTCTTTTAAGTGTTTTAAGAAGGATCTCTTCTTTATTAGTGTCTGGTATTCCTTAGTGTTCTTTTTGGTCAGCTTTTCCCCAGG